CTGCACACATTGAAACATGCTTCTCAGACTGCAAAAATTACGGTGGGGAAGCTAAGCATGGGTATTTGTAATATATCTGAAGAACAAACACAAGATGATGAGGCCACTTCTCACACAAAAGGCACCTATCTTAACATCTAGTTTATGTTCTGTGAGTCTTCTGGTCCACAAAATCCAGGCTTTGGGATCAAGTGATGCTCCCAAGTCACTTTATGTAAGGTATGTGAGGTAACATGAACTAAAAACATTTTGCAACCTGATGCAATGCAGCAGACGGTACACAGAGAGAGAGCAGCACCTAGCAGTTTTGGTATCTAGGGCTCCTCTGCCCTATTGGTTATGTGAGACTGGCATGGGGGAGAGGGAGGACTGAGAAAAGTGTGCCTATGCATGGAACACCTGGGTCTGAACATGCAACTATCGTAGTCCACCTATTTTGTGTATCCTTCTGTCTAGGGAAGAGTGGCTGGAGGCATTTCCATTCATACTTTTCCAGCAGTAAATTTTGCACACTCTAATTTTTGGCACTCTGCGTCAAAAGTCTACTTACCCTGCCTTGCACCTGCTGATCATTGAACACAGTATCCAAATCCATTCAAGTTATTTAAAGTTATTTGGGCACATGTTGCATAAAATCTCATTCCACCTCTCCTCGTTCCTTTAATAATGCATTCCTAAATATGTTTACTTTTTGTGACTTAAAAAATTTGCAGCCTAAAATGGTCAAGGTCAACCAGCACGACTACTTACCACACAGATATGAACCAAAGCAGATATAATGACTGAAGATTTTGGACTCTAATACCAAAATTAGCAGCATTATACTATAGCTGCACAACTGTGCAGCAGAGCAAATCAATACAGTATTCAGCAAAGGCAATTCTTAAAATGATACTGGACCATTTCCTGGCATTCTGATTCACAGTTGTGAATCAAATCTGGATTCTGTATTATACTTTGTGTGAATATAAGTGCTCCATTGTCGTTCAGTCATTTAGTTGTGTCCAACTCTTCGTGACCCCATGAATCAGAGCACGCCAGGCCCTCCTGTCTTCCACTGCCTCCCATAGTTGTGTCAAATTCATGTTGGTTGCTTCGATGACACTGTCCAACCATCTCATCCTCTGCCATCCCCTTCTCCTCTTGCCTTCACACTTTCCCAACATCAGGATCTTTTCCAGGGAGTCTTCTCTTCTCATGAGATGGCCAAAGTATTGGAGCCTCAGCTTCAGGATCTATCCTTCCAGTGAGCGTTCAGGGTTGATTTCCTTCAGAATGGATAGGTTTGTTCTCCTTGCAGTCCAGGGGACTCCCAAGAGCCTCCTCCAGCACCACAATTCAAAGGCATTAATTCTTCGGCGGTCAGCCTTCTTTATGGTCTAGCTCTCACTTCCATACATCACAACAGGAAAAACCATAGCTTTGACTATTCAGACTTCTGTTGGCAAGGTGATGTCTCCGCTCTTTAAGATGCTGTTGAGGTTTGTCATTGCTTTCCTCCCAAGAAGCAGGCGTTTTTTAATTTTGTGGCTGTTGTCTCCATCTGCAGTGATCATGGAGCCCAAGAAAGTAAAATATGTCACTCCCTCCATATCCTCCCCTTCTATTTGCCAGGAGGTGATGGGACCAGTGCCCATGATCTTAGTTTTCAAATCAATCCAGTATTCGGCAAAGACAATACTTACAATGATACTGGACCATTTCCTGGCATTCTGATTCACAGTTACAGAAGCACAATAACCTGTCCCAAACTGGAGGAGTTTTTGAAGATCTGGATTCTGTATTATACTTTGTGTGAATATAAGTGTTCCATCCCCTAACACTAAAAGAAAAATTGCCACAACTTTGTATTTTGTGGAACAGAATGTCTTCCTTTCTAAGCTAATGTCTCAGTGGTAACAATTACTTTTTTTTTGAGGGGAAAGCATTTGTCTTTAATTACTATAGTTTACCAAAAGGTCAATTTTCTGTTTGAAAGCGTGATTGCACATAAGTTACCAAACTTGTGCTATCGAAGACTGAATTATTTCATGGATGCCAAAAAAAAGTCACTGATGTTAATGCTGCATCTCCCTATAGAGCTCAATTGCAGTCAGTTGATTTTCTTTCATTCATGGTCTCAAAATGTTTATTAGCCTCTGTGCCATGAGAGCTGAAAATCTTGATTTGTTTCAAAGCACACATTGCTGATGTGTTGAACAAGACTGCCATCTTGTGGAAAGCATTTTTTCTGCATATTTATTTATTTATCCCTATTTATTCAGGATATTTCCACCCACATTGCAGTCTCTTTAAAGGTCACATATTAATAGAAGCAAAAAAAGTTTAAGCAGGTCATCTGTTACAGATTCACCTGGGAGGAGATCAGTATAACTTTTAAAAATACCTGATTCAAAATGATTTGCAGCTATTGCAGTCATATGGAATCTGGCAGGTTTAGTTCTGATGGGGTGTGCGTGAAATAAACATTATTTTGCTCCAGCCAGCCACCCAAAATTACCCAACAATGCTTTATTTGAAAACAACTTTAAAAAATGGAAAAGCATTTGATGGTATATGTGGTAAGACCAAAAAAATTTTTTTTAGAAAATCAGACATTAATAATGTGATTCTATTTAAGAATAGATAACTCATTGGTTTCAGTATGATTGGGATTTTGATTCCTCGTTGTGCTTTCAGGGAGAAGAGCCAGCTAATGTAGCCTTAGGCAAGCTGCACAGTCTCAGGGCACCCCCAGTAGTAGGGATTGGCAAAGCACTTCTGACTATTCTCTACCTGGAAAACCCCAAAAAGAGTTGCTATGACATATGATGATGATGATTCAAGTCTACTGGAAAGAAAATGCCAGTAAGTCCATTGGTACTTCCAGGGAAAGGTGCTAATGAATTACTGAAACAATGGGGGTAGTATTTCGTGCAACTGTTGCTCTTTGAATTTCATGAACCACTATTTCTGGGTAAAACAGAACTTTCCTTCCTCACTCCCCATTTAGCCTTCAGCAGCCCATTTGGCTCCCATTAACCACTCTTTTCGGTAGACCTATCCTGCTGTCCTCCCATAAAGCCACATGGTTGACCCTCTCCTCCCCAACATCCCAGTCTGTGAATTAAAAAATACAGTATACCAAAACCAATTTATTGTTATTTTATTTTGAGAATAATTTGCAGATGCAGGAGTGCTCAGTAAATAACCTGCACACAACTGCCCATGGTCGTTATATCTTCTGCATTAATATAATTAAAATAAAAGTCCATACATACATCCTTTGTTTCAACATTATTTGATAACATGACTGGAAATGTCTCTTATAATACCCGTTGCTTATAATGTGTAGTCCTTTTGCCTGCAAATTACAGCTGAGAAGACAACTTTTGAATACTTGTTCTACAACATCAGGTGTATGTGAAGTAAAAACACAGTGTATCCATGAATAAGGACTTACAGAATTAAATTAACGAGTACATAAATCCCTGGTAATACGATATGAACCTCAGCTGCAACAAGAATAGGTTTCTGTGATTTACCTTGTAGGTCTGCAATTAAATTGGCCTGTAAGGGAAACATACAGAGCATCTCCAAGTGACAGCTGAAACATACAGTAGGCAAAATTCTGTTGATTAACTTTGCACCAGGCACAGCTTGGATCAGGCACTGTAAACATTCAATTTGCACTAATTAAAAGTTTCCTACTGCCCCATTTTAGATTCCAAGGCTGTTTCATGTTCCCTTCCCTGGGGAAGCCTTTAGGAACCTTGGGTTGGGGGAGCTTTAAAAGTAAAAAATCACCACAAGATTCCCGTTACTGGAATCGGGACTGCCAGTAGCAATCTGGCAGTGATTTTTTACTTTTAAAGGCTCCCCTACACAGTTCTGAGGTTCCCAAAGGCTCCCCTAGGGCAAAAGGGAGCCTGGGAGAGCCCCAGAACATAAAACAGAGGGATAGGAAGCTTTTAATTAGTGTAAATTAAATGTTTCCAGCACCTGATCTGATTTGTGCTGGGTACAAAGCTATGCAGCAGGATTTTGCCCGTTGTTAGCACTCTATTCAAATAATGTGTGGACAGACTTGTAGACATCTTTTTTCCCAATATTCTTTAATAAAATAAAAATATTTAATCACAATTTAAGAAAACAGCTATTTAATTGAAATAATGCAAACATGGTACTGTACTTTGATAAAAATGGTTAAATTTATGCAAACAACTATTATTATTTCTGATTATACACCTATAACAATGCAGCTCTGAAGGCTCTCCAAAACATTGCTAAAATATGTGTGATTAAGTGAAATAATCAAATGGTGCCAGTAGGTTAAAAAAGATAATAGAAATCATTACAGCTTTCAGTACAGATTCCCCTCACAAGAAAACTAACATTCCACTGCAGTAGTACAGTTGTCAGTTGTGATCATCTGTTTCAATTATTTGTAGTCTTGCAATCTCTGTCATTTTTCCTGATAGCTGGGAAACAATACTGTGAGACAGGGAAACCTAAGAACTAGGGACTTGGGCTGTGGTCACTCACCAATCCTAGTGGCTGAACAAAGGTTTGAACCCATGTCTCCCAAACCCTTGTAAAACAAACCCTATTCAGTCACTATTGAACTTGTGTTCCTCAACACGTTTAAAGAGGAGTGTCTAATCCTATCCCCTCTGTCATTGCCTTCTTCACAGAAGCAATGGGGAGTCTGAAGAGGAAAGGATCCTGATCACTTGTAAGCTCAGCATATGAATTAGAACCTCAGGTTTTAATTTTATTTTTTGAGTTCTTGCTCACATACAGGGCATACCGTGAAAACAGGAAGATCGCCTCTTCAAACTCCTTGTGGACGAAGTGGAAAACACAACAGAAGGGATGGTATGAGGTGCTCCCTCCTAACTGTATTCAAGAAACATGACTCAATAACACATGAATAGGCTTGCAGCCAATTCTTGGCTGTTCTTTCTGATTCTGTCCATGCTTCACACACACACAAAAACAAACCCAGCTAGGTCCCTGGGGAGCACAATATTTGAAATGCTCTTATTGTGGCAAAGAGTCTAATAATAGTGGATTTATATATCAACACAGCACATTTCTAGATTTCATTAAAACAATGCTATGGAAACTGCCTATGCCATTCTTTTTGTCAAAGGATTTCAGGCATTATATGGCAGTTTTAGAGACTGGAAATGACCTTTTAAAAAAAATGACCAAGCTAACTGGAGGTTTCTGCTATAATTTAAAAAGTAACTTTGCATTTCTCTGGGTAGCTGTGGAATCATTAGCATGTGGAAGTAACCATGGATATACAGTACAATCAGAATTAATCTTTATTTAGTCCAAGAGTGATGACAAGTTGATTCACACACACATGCACACACAGTTTTGAAAGTGAGTATGTGTAGGGCTGACTTACCTCTAATCTTTTTGGGTTTCTTTCCACAGTGCACTACACACTCATGCACAAATCATTGGTATAAATGAAGAGACAGTTTACATCATTTGCATTCTTAATAGGGTTGTACAGAACATGAATCTCCTCTGAATGTAGTCTAGATCAACATTATCACCCTGATCAAAAATAACACTGTACTGAAAAAACACACCTCGCAAGTAATCCTTGCAGCACATAAATTATTTTAGTAAACATTGTCCACTGTAATAAAGTCTTGTTTCCTGCTGTTACAGATTCCATCTTCATTTGTGACCAAATATCAGGCCTTGTTTGAAAACCATTGTTAATGTACATGCTATTGATACTGTGTGTCTTTTAATCTCAATACCTAGATAAGTTATTAAAACTGTAAGGTTTAACAGAGCTCAGATGTACAGATAATAGACATTTGTACTTTTCACAACTCAACTTCATACATAGCTGAGGACAATCATGGTCAGGTTCAATTGTAACAGGACACAGAGATTCCCTGCTCTTTCTGGATTGGCCAACTCTTGTGGGCCAAGGAGTCAATTTTACATACACCCTAAATTGTGATGAGTTCTAGCTGCCACCATGTTAAATCTCACTTTAAAATAAAAGATGCATAAAGAGCAGATGCCTTGTTTTAAAGGACAAGTGCATTTCCAAGGAGGCATCCAGGTGTGCAAATCTCTTCTAAAACAAAGTGAGTACTCCTTAGGGGGCTTGTTTTGCATCAAAAATGTGCACGTGTTTTATTGCAAGCATTACATCACTGAAATCTGTCAGGGCAAGGGTAGTAGTTGCAAGAACAGGGAGGGAGGCTGCATATGGCTCATGATATGTTTGATGCCCACTTTTGTAATGCGTGGATAAGATATGGCAAGTCTCAGGGCTGTCTACTCCCCACTCTATCTTCTGCATACCAAAGCGGGGGGGGGGGGAAGCAGCTTCCCCTTCTGATTATCAAGGAAACAGAGTTCCCTGAATAATCCAAACTTCAGAATTACCAACTATGATAGGTGAAACTAAGACAGATGTACATAAGTTTTCACCATCTCAAACCATGTAGCTAAGCACTTGTATCGAAATTCAGAAGTCATCGGGATTTATCTTAGTCTGCATATTATATAGACTGTTGGCTGAAAACTAGAAATGGAGACTTCTGGCTGCCTGGTTGCTGCAGCAACAGAGAAAAGGGCATGCACAAGCCTGAAGTTCATGCTGAAGCATTTCTCTTAGCAGGACACCTGTAGACTGATTAGTTAGGCTCATGTGATGAAGAGCTTAAAAACTGCTGGCTACACAGAATCAAACTACTGTAGATGTAAATTCATAGTTTAAGAAGTTCAAGATCTTTTTATTTTACAACGGATAGAATCCCAATTTTGTACGAACCCAGAAACATACCACCGTCTTGTTAAAGAACAGCAATCTGTTACCATGTTTTACATGATTTCCTGTATGAAAGCATAAATCAGCAATAGGATTCTGGTCTACAGGTCCAAGTTGATCCACATGACACACATGCACATGTCGTCCAGTTGTTTATTTCAAATAGGCAATAGAGAATATTTTCAAAAACATACGTAACTTTGTTGTAAACATGATTTAACCTAGTTATATATTTTGCAAAGCCAGAGAACTAAGTCTGTGTGAGTTATTTTTATACAGGTTAAGTAACTGTAAAAAGGAAACCAAGCAAGTCCCATTTAGTTTTATACGAGTAAAGCAAGGTAATTCCATGCTTTGCTGAATCACTATATTCAGGATAAGAAATCAAACACTGCTTTCTTTAGACTAACCCTGTGATATATGGGGACTCATCCTAAAGTTCTATGGGAAATCTGCAAGGCCCCAAAAGATCATTTGTATTGCTTGGATTTAATGCTGCCACAACAAATGAGGTAATAGGGGGGAAGTCACATATCTTGGAAGGAAAACATGGTATCAGCACCAAGTATTATAACCAAACAATGGACTAAATCCAGACTTAGCTGTATTTATAGTAAACTTATTGAGCTCAAAGGATTTAGGTCTACTTGAAATATGACTATGTCTAGAACCTACTTAACAGGTTAGCAGAAATGTATACCTTTCAAACGCATACATAAATTTTTACATCTAAAAGGGAAGATTATAATAGGGTTACCTAGAAGGAATTCCTGCCTTTGTGAATGTGTTTGGATGCAAAAAAATCTACTTTTATTGGATACGATCCAGAAAATGTTAAACATTTTTGCATCTTATTCAATGGAATATTAATGAGCTTGAGCCCTAAATGAACACTGTCAAATCACCATGGCATTTCAAGACACAGGTTCATAAGATAACGCCATACCTGTCCATCCAGTTACATTAAATGTATAGCACCCAGTTGTAAGATCTTTTCTGTCTGACACATAAGTGAGCACACAGGGCCCAACTGTATGCATACACCATGTATAGGTAGGGTAACTTAGATCTTTCCCCTGAGTCAATATTTCAAAACTGAATTTGTCTCTTTGGGGGGAGGCGGGAGATGGGACAGGGAACAGCACTGGCATCAAGTTTATTTTTAAGCCTTCATATTGGGAAAAAGAGCTAATGTAGTTTTCAAAACCAGTTAGAGGGAAGGTTTAACCTCTTCCAGCAATCACACAGTTTTAGTTAGAAGTATCTCCCCTCCACAAGGTCTTGTAGCAGAATGCTACATATTGAATATAGCATTTGAGTTCAATGAAGTTTAGATCCAGGTGAGCACGTACAGGTGGCCCAACTATTTTCTTAAATATATGATTGTGATATATAGATTATCTTGGCACCATATTTCTCTTTTTGTAACTATTTCCCCCACCAAAAATGATTTAACAGTTGTGTAAACAATTTTTTAATCAAAGAAAGATGATCCTAAAATACACGTGCAATTTCACTCAGATTTGTTGCATTCACTCATTTTTAAAAATGCTAACATTATTAAAAACACACAAACCACACACTGGGCATCATTCCAATTCTTCCTCCATTTGGAAGGATCTGAAATTGTTGTTCACATTATTGTAAGTGAAGTTTGAGGTACACTTGGAAGAGGAGGCACCACTGAAGCTGATTGTCCAGAAGTATAGAATCAAAAAAACCATATCCAGTTAACCTAAATTCCTATTGAAGAAAAATATGTATTTCAGTTATATACCTTTTAAAACCATCTGTACTAAAGAACTTAAAGCTGGGTTGTATTTACAATACAGATATTCCTTCTGAAACATGATTCAGTTGAGATTTAATCCTATACCTCACTTGAGAGTAAACATTATTGAATTCAATGGGAGTTACCTTTCAGTATGTATAGGATTACATGTCTAATCCAACAAGGGACTAATATGAACAATAGTTCATCTAACAGGATTTCTCCAGAAGCAATTTCTAGTTAATGGCTATAATCCACCACAGAATAACTTGCACTGAAATCCATTGGTTTACATCCAACATTGTACTAACAGGCCACAACAGTTCAATTCATCCTTTTCCCTCTTGAAGCCTAGACCAAAAATCTGGTCCAGAACGTTTCCCAACCCTATGGAGGAAATACTGAGTGTGCAGGAGAGCTGCAGGAATTTCCCAAGCACTTCCACCAGTGGAATGGGTGAGAAATATTAGGTTCCCTCCAGGGATTTCAGTGAGTTCACGGATGCTTAGCTCTGTGTTGGATCGTGGCCATTGCACTGTTAGTCTCCATTAAAACAGCTCAATAAGAAACTATAAGAATTTGTTCCTGCCATGAGCACCCCAACTGCAATACACATTGAGTCACACCATGTGACAATTTCAATGGTATGAGAATCAAAAAATCCTATACATTAAGATAAGAAACCACAAACACCATCAAAAGAATGAAAATCCCTGAAGTTAATAGAGAGTATGTGAGGAAGAGAGCAGTTCTAAGAAAAAAGAAAACACCATGCAAATCATTATATTATCTGTTTACTTGATTATTCATACATGTTAAAGCCATGATTGTCTAAGTTCTGTGTATGCCAGCTTACTTGAGTTTCCATTCCTTAATGGGGAAGGGCTGCGGCTTCGAGAAGGCTGGAAGGCAAAGTAGAAGTGAAAAATTTAAGTGACTGACACCTCCTGACTCATGTTTTCCCTAGAAAGGTATAAATATTTATAGTTCATACTGTCACACAAAGTGGGGAAATTCAGGACCCTTTGCTTGAACTATGCGATGAGCACAACTCTGGAAATGACAAACTCAGAAGAAATGGAATGGCTCTAATACTGAGGTAAGATGTAGCACAGGAAGATAGGGACTATAATGCAAGGTCTGACTGAATAATATCAGTCAGTTTCGATGGAAAAATTATCAACATAGCCATCCTTCAAGATTATGCTCCAATTACAGATGCCAAAAAAGATGAAATGGAAAGCCTTTATGTAAGTATCCAGGGGGAAATTGGTCACACACCAAAACAAGCCATGCTTTTGACCATAGGTGACAAGAATGTAAAAGCAGAAAACAAAGCAGGAACAAATGTTGTTGGAAAATTTGCTCTAAGGGACAGAAATAAAGCAGGAGAACGATTCACAGAGTTCTGCAAAACCAAATACATGTTTCAAGCAACTGGACAGATGACTGTACATGTGGACATCACAAGATGGCCAATATAGAAATCAAATATTGTAGACTACATAATTAGGAGCCTTGTGGTGCAGCAGTTAAACAGCAGTACTGCAGTGAACATTGCTCATGACCTCAGTTTGATCCTGGGCTCAGGTAGGTGGCTCAAGGTGTACTCAACCTTCCAGTGTTCTGAGGTTGGTAAATTGAGTACCCAGCTCACAGGATGGTAATGATGGATATGTAGCCTGCATAATAAAGTGTAAATGAGTATATAAAACCTTTGCTTTTTGCTTTGCTTTGGAAGTAGAAGATGGAGAAGCTGTATTCTCTCTGTCAAAACAGGACCAGGAGCAGACTGACGTACGTACTGTTCATGGACTGTTAATATCTAACATTAGAGCAAAGCTGAAAAAGAACACTAAAAGAATCCAAAATATAATTTAAACAGTATTTTCAGTGAATTTCAATTTTATATACAGAGAGATTTGTATTAATAAATCCAATTGATCATGAAACAGAAGAATTGCAGGGAGAAACCAGAGCTATTACTGGGATAGAATGCAAAATTCCTGTAGTAAAAAGAAAAGAAAAACCTAGATGGATTATGTAAGAAACACTTCAAATTGTCAAGGACAGGTGAGAAGCAAAAGCAAAAGGTGACAGAAACAGGATTAGAATGCAGGTTTCAGTTACTATCAAACACAGAAAAAGAAAACTATTACAATAACTACTGCACAAAGAAACAGAGGATAACCAAAAAGAGGGAATCAAAACATCTCTTCCGAAAAATCCAAGAAATCAAAGCGAAATTTTAATCGGATGCTAAATGACCAATACGGAAGTACACTATTTGACCAGGAGAAAATAAAGAGACAGTGGGAACAGTATACTGAAGATGTGTACAGAAGGGACAAAAGGATAACAAACTGCTTTGAAGAGAAATCCTATGATGAAGAACCTGCAGTTCTAGAAAGGGAGAGCTGCTCCAAAAACACAAGAAAGAAATCACCAGGAATAGATCGGTTATCAATAAAACTATATGAAGCCACAGAATCTGTCAAAATCCTAACAAAAATATGCCACCAAATACAGAAAACAGACTAGAAACATATAAATAGCAATTCCCAAGAAAGGAGATGCTAAAGAGTTCAGTAACTATAGGGCAATTGCTCTACTTTCTCATGCAAACAAAATGATACTCAAAATGTTGCAACGTTACCTTATATGGGGCAAGAAATGCCTGATGTTCAAGTTGGATTCCAGAAAGGAAGCAGCACTGAAGATGAGATTGCAAATATCCACTGGCTACTGGAGTGTACCAAAGAATTTCAGAAGATCAATTTCACTTTATAGATTACTCAAGCCTTTCACTGTGTAGAGCATGAGAAACTATGGGTCATTCTGAAAGAAATGGACCTGCCTCAGCACTTGATTGTCCTAATGCTTAACTTGTATTGTAGACAAGAAGCTACCATGAGGACAGAATATGGAGAGCAGAATAGACAAGGCAAAGGGATCAGACAAAGGTGCATTTTCTCCCCTTCCCTGTTCAATCTGTATACAGAATATGCCATACAGAAAGTTGAACTGCATTCAGATGAAGTGAAAATAGGTGGAGGAAACAACAATAACTTAAGATATGCAGATGATTCCATCTTACTAGCAGAAACCAGCAGTGGCTTGAAATGTCTTTTAGTGAAAGGAGAAAGTGCCAAGGCAGTTGAATATTATGCAGACAAAAATCATGATTACAAAAGAATTACAATAATATTGACAATGACGAAATTGAACTAGTTAGAGATTTTTGTATACCTTGGTTCAATCATCAACCCAACTGGACACTGCAGCTAAGAAATTAGAAAAAGACTGGAGACTTGGAAGGGCAGCAATGAAAGAATTAGAAAAGATAATCAGGTGTAAGGATGGGTCACTGGAGACCAAGGCCAAAGTCATCCACACTTTTGTATTGCCCATTACTACGTATGGTTGTGAATGCTGTAGACAGTTTCAAGGAAAAAAATATTTTTCTTGAAATATAGTGCTGGAGGAGAGCTTTATGGATACCCTGGACCACCAGAAAGATGAACAAGTGGGTCCTACAGCAAATCAAGCCTGAACTGTCTCTGTGGGGAAAAATGATGAAACTGAGACTGTCCTACTTTTGACACATTATGAAAAGGCAAGATTCTCCGGAAAAGACAGTAATGCTAGAAAAAGCTGAGGGCAGCACAAAAAGAGGAAGGCCAAACAGGAGATGCATTGACTCCCTAAAGAAAGCCATAGGCTTGAGTTTGTAAGAGTTGGGCAGAGCTATTGAAGACAGGACAATTTGAAGATCATTCATTCATAGGGTTGCCAAAAGTTAAAGGAACTTGATGGCACATAACAAACAACAAAGGAGCAGAGAAGCAACTGTAATGCGACTTATTCCCTCTCTGGTAGGACAAAACTAGACCAAGCTGTTATGCTGCCTGAGGCAAAAGAAAAAGGGGGCACATGCACACATATTCTCTCCATGCACAGAAATCAAACCAGTTGACAGCTAAATTTTAGTTCAGAAATGACAAGGAGGAACAGTGTCCTTCATTGAACCTAAGGACAGCAGAAGAGTTTAAAGCAGGAGCAGGCAATATACTGTAAGCTCCTGTTGACTATCCAAAACTTCACAACCTCCTTTACAAATTTATTTTTTTTAAAAAAATTGGCTCAGGAAGACCCCATATCCTCTTTAAAGGACACGGGGAGCCAAGCTGTCATGTTTTGTGGGTCTCTTCATCACTCCCGAAGTTCCTGCGCACACTTCAAATTTTTAATGATTGAAAGAATTGGCCACTAGAGGGCACGAAAGGTCTTTTTTTTTCCCCAGGGAAAAATATTTTTATACAGGAAAATTTATACAAGAAAAAAATGGGAGAGGACAGAAATTGTATGAACAAGTACAACCCTTTAAGATCCAGAAATTAGCATCTGCAGTCTCCAGATGTCTGGAAGTTGCCCATTCCTGGTTTAGACCAGCAGTGAGACTGAACTGCTGGATAGCCCAGGGGTTTAGGTTTCTGTGGAGCCAGAGGTTGAGGGTTCGGTTCCCCACTGGGCCTCCTTGTCAAAGACTGGATCCAGAGGGTCCCTTTCAGCTCTGCAGTTCTAAGGTTATTACACAGCTCTTTCCTCAACATAGGGCAACAAGTGGCATTTTCTGAAGCAAAGTAATGAGTTGTGCTGGAGTAAGAAGGCAGCATCAGCAGAGAATGGTCAGGGTGGTTCTGCTTTGAACCTATGATATCGGGTTGCTTCCTCCTGCTTAGCCAGTTTTTGAAGGCTGCATGGGGGGGTTGAACTGATGAAATAGGAGGGAGTTGAAAAAAGGCAGAACTTCTGGATTTCATTAAAGCCTCCTCTATCTTCTCCACACACATACATAAATCAAGTACCCGGCTGTTATAGTAGTGGTGATGGGGTTTACATTTTACATCCTAGCCTTCAAATTTCCAATGTTTAGGCCTGTATCTTGCGTGCTACTTTACCAGATGTCGGGAGTAGTCTGGACTACGAGACAGAGGGCTCAAACTACGGCTGCGGCTTCTGCTTCTGCTTCTACTCCTGTGAGACCACTGAAACAAATAAGGTGAACAATAAGACACACCAGTATTAAGCAGAGAGCATTTGTTGGGGTTATGTTACAGAAAGGAAGGGTTGCTGTGTGGAAAGAAAGATTATATACAGCATGGAATTTCTTCTCAATGGCCCTTTCAGATTTAACAATTTCCTTTTAAAATGCAACAGAAGTTCCCAGCTCATTGATCCAGGTTGATGATGAACAGGGTGAGGGTATACACTGCTTGCACATATAGTAATAATGGCTACATAGAGTACATATTTCTTATCTGTATTGTGCCAAGAGCTGACAGGAACTACTACTTCAGCTCATTTTTCTACCAACAAGCTAGAGAAAGAAAATTCTTGGCCTGTTTCTTCAGCTTGATGGAAGAAAAATAAACCGGACCAACAGTTGCTAGGTGCCTAAACATCATGCAAAACAGATCATAAAGACATGATGATGTGTTGGACACTGGACATGGAACTCAACTTCAAAGACCGTATCTTCTTTTATGAGCTTGCCTGGGTGTTAAGATAATCAGAGAAACCCTTTCTCTCTGTCCCACCATCCTCACAGGTATGCTGTGTGTGGATACAGTAGAGGACCTTCTCTGTCACTGCTCCCAGACTCTGGAACCCCCTCTCACAGGGAGCCAGGTTAGATCTGTTGCTGCTTTCCTTCTGCAAGCAGGCAAAGACTTTTCTCTTCTGGCAGGCTTTTTCTTAGTGACTGACTGTCTAGGAGAGATTTTAAAATGAGGTGGTTTGCATTTTGTTGCTTCTACATCTCTTTTAGTAATGCTTTACCTAACATTTTTAATATAATATCATGAATTTGTTTGAATAATTCACTATTTTTACTGTCAATATTGGGTTTTAATTATGTTAACCACCTTGGGTCCTTTTCTTAGGAAAAAGACAGGTATGTATGTATGTATGTATGTATGTATGTATGTATGTATGTATGTATGTATGTATGTATGTATGTATGTATGTATGTAGCAGAAATACTTTATTTGTGGGTGGCTGTTTTTCCTCTTCAATTTGGTGTTGTTTTCTTGGTTTGATGAATAAATAAATAAATAAATAAATAAATGTCCACTTTCAAGGAATAGGATTTTTTCCCACTTCCTTCTCAAATCCACAACAACTACATTTCCTCATAGAAGCTGGGGCCCCTTCAAAATGGTTTAAGAAATGCTTTATGGAACCACAGCTAGAAAGTCAACTGGCAGAAATCCCCCCACTTAAATTAATTTATAACAGTCAAAAACCAAATAAAAATAAAAAAGTAAAGAAGACAAAAGCATTGTGACATCTTAAAGACTGCTATTTTTTAATGTGAACTTTTGTGAATAATTCCACTTCTATTAAAATATAACAGTCTTTTAAAGTGTCACACATTTTTGTCATTATGTTTTATTTTTATTCTGATTTTGCCTGACATGCTAGCACATACTAATACAGCTACTTCTTCTAAAATTACATAATTTAAGAGCCAAGCCCAGAGGTCTGAACCTGAACACTGAAGAACACTCACTAGAGCACCTCTTTTTGTGACTGCTTCTCCCTTGACAATGACAGAATCTCCTTCCATAAGAGCAGGCCACACGTGGTAAGCCACTAGTGGAGCGGTGAAATCAGAGTCATAGCTGCGACGGTACCTAGTCAAACACAAAGACATTTAGTTAAGAACAGAGTTTGCAGCCCAAACACTGTAGATCAGAGCATTCTGTTTCTTCTGTTTACCTGTCCATTCATTTTTTTCCCAAGGAAAAGTCCTTTTTCCAAGGAATTCAGAGACAAAGGGGAATCTGCAACAAAATGTGATGGTATATGCCCAGTGCTTAGAAAGGAGTGTACCTGATGAAAAGGAGCTTGTAGTACTATTCAGAATTCTCTTCCGAGAGGGCTGTGTGTGTCTGTGTACAGAGTTTCTTCCTTAGCCTTTCCTTTCTCTGCAGCTCTGTTCCCTTGTTGTACTAGTGCTAGAGCCCTGCACATTTAGCTATTATATAATGGGAAGGTAATAGATTCTGGAGAAATGGGAAAGGAAAAAGGTGTCCCTTTTCTTTTTCACCTTCCTTAAATATCCCTCTACAGTGTGAGGAAGGATTTTCCCAAGCTCACGCCATAGGCAGCCTGTGATCAGATCAAAGCAGGCACTACTCAGAATTGGGAGGTAAAGTCCACAAACCATTCTGTATGCCTTACAGGGTGCATATCCCTCAAACCTAGAAACTAGCCAAAGAACTCTGTAAAAGCATGAGTATTGCAAAATCTCTTTGCGCCTTGTCTCACACTCTTGTCTGTCACACCATCCTGGTTAAAGTAGACAGGATTAAAGAGCAAATGGGTTAAAATAACGTGGGGCAGAGTAAGGGAGAGGATACAGTAATGTCAGAAACATGATGTACTCCTGAGAAATCCACCATATAAGGAGGTTACTTACCTGTAACCATAGTTCTTCTAGTGGTCCTCTGAGAATGTCAGCGCAGGCGCAGACAAGACCCATATGTGTGCATTCACAGAGGTCACAAAGAAGAACTATTGTTGTTTGCAATGCTATTTCTCTGCAGTATTTCAATAAGGAAAATAAAAATGAACACAGCTTACAGAAATCACTTACATTGTTATGCTTAGTAACCAACATTATCATCTTTTTTCTCCCTAACTTACTACTTAGCAGGCTGGTGGAGAACAGACAGTTCTCTCCTACAGAGCCATGAACAGATAATGAAGAGTGAATTTTTGAAATGGGACTGAGAGTTGGATGAGACCAAGCCTAAGAGCCACAAATTCCTATCTTGGTATAAACACAGCACATTGTCAGAAAGAAGAGCAATGTGTGTTTATTTCTGCATTAGGAATACAGAACTTGACTTTTCCTTACTTGTACTCGCTAAAAAGTTCTCCATCTGTTGCAAATGAAATATCCAATGGAGGATCCAAAGTCTGCATCGAAAAGGCTACACGGCACATCTCTCGTATTAAATTGCTGACCACAATAAAGTCAACTTCTGGTGGGAAGGAAATCTTAGGATTCATGTTCATTGCACGGATTACTTCCTGAAAACAAATGGAATGTAGATGCTTATTTTCTAGAGAAAAATCAGAATATACAAGTGCTTAGATGATGAGAGATAAGGCACAAGAGGCAATTAAAAGATATGTAGACAGAGAGAGAAATGAACATAAAATAAACGGGAGCAATGACTTAAGGCACAATAAAGTCTCTTTTTTAACAATAGTGGCTGGAAAAATGGTGTCCACATAAAGTTTTGTAATTTGCCACAGCTAATTGCAGGTAGTTGAGGAGGTGCTGGGGCTCATCTCAGTTGTGTAATTGGGTGTGTGATCAAACAAACATCCAAGATGCATCTTGGCACGTAATCAATTTCTTGCAACTTGGCACAGCAAGTGACACAAACCTTACCCAAACACCAGTAGGATTCTGGCCTGAATTTTTAAAACAGCATCACCACAAATGAATTTCCACAAATATGTGATTAACACAGAAAGATGAAACTAATCTAGAGTTTCACTGGTGGTTATCTCAGAACTTCACCTCCAGTTGGAGTACTCCACATTGCCTAAAAATTGGTCTTTCTGGGTTTGTCAGCCTTGAAAGCAACTTGGGGGCTGCATGGGATGCTGAAATGGAGTCTCTCTCTCTCAATTTGTGTCTGTGCCTGGGTGACACACACACATTTCTACTAGAATAGATATTGGCATTCATTGGAATAATCAGGGCTTGAAAAATGCACTTGTCCACTTATCTGTGACAAATGAAAAATTTAAGAGCCAAGCCCAGAGGTCTGAACCTGAACACTGAAGAACACTCACTAGAGCACCTCTTTTTGTGACTGCTTCTCCCTTGACAATGACAGAATCTCCTTCCATAAGAGCAGGCCACACGTGGTAAGCCACTAGTGGAGCGGTGAAATCAGAGTCATAGCTGCGACGGTACCTAGTCAAACACAAAGACATTTAGTTAAGAACAGAGTTTGCAGCCCAAACACTGTAGATCAGAGCATTCTGTTTCTTCTGTTTACCTGTCCATTCATTTTTTTCCCAAGGAAAAGTCCTTTTTCCAAGGAATTCAGAGACAAAGGGGAATCTGCAACAAAATGTGATGGTATATGCCCAGTGCTTAGAAAGGAGTGTACCTGATGAAAAGGAGCTATTAGTACTATTCAGAATTCTCTTCCGAGAGGGCTGTGTGTGTCTGTGTACAGAGTTTCTTCCTTAGCCTTTCCTTTCTCTGCAGCTCTGTTCCCTTGTTGTACTAGTGCTAGAGCCCTGCACATTTAGCTATTATATAATGGGAAGGTAATAGATTCTGGAGAAATGGGAAAGGAAAAAGGTGTCCCTTTTCTTTTTCACCTTCCTTAAATATCCCTCTACAGTGTGAGGAAGGATTTTCCCAAGCTCACGCCATAGGCAGCCTGTGATCAGATCAAAGCAGGCACTACTCAGAATTGGGAGGTAAAGTCCACAAACCATTCTGTATGCCTTACAGGGTGCATATCCCTCAAACCTAGAAACTAGCCAAAGAACTTTGTAAAAGCATGAGTATTGCAAAATCTCTTTGCGCCTTGTCTCACACTCTTGTCTGTCACACCATCCTGGTTAAAGTAGACAGGATTAAAGAGCAAATGGGTTAAAATAACGTGGGGCAGAGTAAGGGAGAGGATACAGTAATGTCAGAAACATGATGTACTCCTGAGAAATCCACCATATAAGGAGGTTACTTACCTGTAACCATAGTTCTTCTAGTGGTCCTCTGAGAATGTCAGCGCAGGCGCAGACAAGACCCATATGTGTGCATTCACAGAGGTCACAAAGAAGAACTATTGTTGTTTGCAATGCTATTTCTCTGCAGTATTTCAATAAGGAAAATAAAAATGAACACAGCTTACAGAAATCACTTACATTGTTATGCTTAGTAACCAACATTATCATCTTTTTTCTCCCTAACTTACTACTTAGCAGGCTGGTGGAGAACAGACAGTTCTCTCCTACAGAGCCATGAACAGATAATGAAGAGTGAATTTTTGAAATGGGACTGAGAGTTGGATGAGACCAAGCCTAAGAGCCACAAATTCCTATCTTGGTATAAACACAGCACATTGTCAGAAAGAAGAGCAATGTGTGTTTATTTCTGCATTAGGAATACAGAACTTGACTTTTCCTTACTTGTACTCGCTAAAAAGTTCTCCATCTGTTGCAAATGAAATATCCAATGGAGGATCCAAAGTCTGCATCGAAAAGGCTACACGGCACATCTCTCGTATTAAATTGCTGACCACAATAAAGTCAACTTCTGGTGGGAAGGAAATCTTAGGATTCATGTTCGTTGCACGGATTACTTCCTGAAAACAAATGGAATGTAGATGCTTATTTTCTAGAGAAAAATCAGAATATACAAGTGCTTAGAGGATGAGTGGCTGGAAAAAAGGTGTCCACATAAAGTTTTGTAATTTGCCACAGCTAATTGCAGGTAGTTGAGGAGGTGCTGGGGCTCATCTCAGTTGTGTAATTGGGTGTGTGATCAAACATCCAAGGTGCATCTTGGCACCTATTCAATTTCTTGCAATTTGGCACAGCAAGTGACACAAACCTTACACAAACACCAGTAGGATTCTGGCCTGAGTTTTTAAAACAGCTTCACCAACAGGGTATGAATTTCCACAAATATGAACACAACACAGAAAGATGAAACTAATCTAGAGTTTCACTGGTGGTTATCTCAGAACTTCACCTCCAGTTGGAGTACTCCACATTGCCTAAAAATTGGTCTTTCTCGGTTTGTCAGATAGCAACTTTATGAATTTCCACAAATATGTGATTAACACAGAAAGATGAAACTAATCTAGAGTTTCACTGGTGGTTATCTCAGAACTTCACCTCCAGTTGGAGTACTCCACATTGCCTAAAAATTGGTCTTTCTCGGTTTGTCAGCCTTGAAAGCAACTTGGGGGCTGCATGGGATGCTGAAATGGAGTCTCTCTCTCTCAATTTGTGTCTGTGCCTGGGTGACACACACACATTTCTACTAGAATAGATATTGGCATTCATTGGAATAATCAGGGCTTGAAAAATGCACTTGTCCACTTATCTGTGACGAATGAAAAAATGCTGCTTGACTAGCCACAGCTCCCTGCCTCCTTCCCCCCCGCCTGTCTCTCTCTCTCTCACTGATCCTGCAATCCTCCCCTCCCCCCCCCATTGCAAAAGGAAAGCTGCCGTCTTCTCGCGAGAAGAGTTCGAGCGGCACATAGATACAGTATATAGCTATGCAGGAGAATGTAGAGTAGTCTCATGCTGAAAAATATGGAGATTCCCTGCTCCCAATTTCAACCAAACGAGGACACATGCTGGGGTGGGAGGGAATCGTGGCTCCTTAAGAAGATGGGCACTTTTGCTTTCAGTTTTATTTTTGCTGGAGACATTCAAAATACAGTGGTATCTCAGCTTACAAACGTCTCCACTTGCGAATGTTTCGAGTCACAAATGGCTCCGGTTGCACAATGTTGCTTCAACTTGCAAACGGAGCCTCGACTTATGAACCAAAAAAACACGAAAAAAACTTTCCTTCCCTTTTTTTGACCTAAGTTCATCTTAGGTCAAAAGAAGAAGAAAAATCTCCCCCTAGCGGTAGAGTACGAATTAACCAGCTTTGCATTAGTTCCTATGGGAACTAATTAGTTCCTATGGGAACTAATGCCTCTACCTATGAACAGCGCCTTGACATACAAACAAAAAACAGCCTGAACAGATTAAATGGTTTTCATTGCATTCCTATGGGAAATCTTACCTTGATTTACAAACTTTTCAACATACGAACGCCATTCCAATACAGATTAAGTTTGTAAGTCAAGGTACCACTGTACAAGCTTCATGACTCCACAGGCACCAAGGTAATAGAGCAAGCCAAGTCTGAGGGTAGATTTATTTTGGGTTTGTACGCATTGTTACACAAAAATAAGAGTGAACAAGTGCCTAGTTTAAATTTGTTAATATAAATTGCAAGGCTATAGTCCGGTCATGCTGACTGGTGAAATTTCTGACTGACTGGTGAGACATTCTAAAATTTTTCAAGCCCTGAGAATGATAGCATTCTTTCTATGGATCCTGCCTATATATTGTATAAATCCATAGCTTATTAAAAAAAACCTGACAGGGGTGCTAGTAGTAGTAGCAGTAGGGCGTTCAATTGCCCACTGTCCCTCCTTAACAGGGGCAGGACTCAATGGCCCATAGCATCCCTTCAAGCACTGCAGTTCTATGATTAATTTGTTGATTATTTACTAGTTATTAATGGTGGGAAAACTGTAATTTCATCCTAAATATATTTCTTAGAGAAAGATCAGATTCTGATCTACCTATATTTAAAAATTCAGCCTCCACTCAGTTAAACAGGACATTAGTAAGCACAACTTTCTCACAGACTTACATTGACACTGGACTGGACATCATACAGATCCTCCTGGCGAACAATATAGTCCATTACCATGTCTTCAATTGATTCAGTCCCTGTGTAACTTAGAGACAGAGTCTTTCTAACACGCATTTTGAACTGCCTGAAGGCCTTCTTTGCAGCATGGAAAGATTCCTGCAAATGACAAAAACAAATATTCAAATTTAGGAGCACAGGAAAAATTGAGGTCTTTTAATTTTCAGAAACCAATCTTCAGAGCTATACATCCTGGTGTGGGCATCTTTCAATATCAGGACTACGTCAGGGATTACTAACTAGATGATTGAAGCATGAATCTGGCATCATCTTCAATTTCAAATTAGTGAATCTGTCCGTTTCATTTTCTTCCATAATTTGAATTTACACACACACATATTAGTGAATCTGTCCGTTTCATTTTCTTCCAAACACACATATAAATTTATTGCGTGACACACAGGCCGTTACAAATTACATCAAATAAAAACAATACAATACAGTACAATTCAATACACTATAGTATAGGGGGGGGGACCCAAATCAAGTTAGATTTCTATCACAGCTAAAAACCTCTAACGTCTTAAAAAAAAACTTATGGGAAACTAAGTGAAGGCAGTTGATAGACAGTATCTTGTGCCAATAACAAGCATCTATCGCGGGAGGGGGAACCCCAAGGGTACATGAACCTACATAATCACTTCATTAGTATTAGTGGGGGCTACAAGTTTCATTTTCATAAGTATAGATAAAAACCTTGCCATTCAAAATGTAATAAATTTATCTCTGTCTGAGAGTAGGATCCTGAGCCTTTCCTGGACAGGTCTTCCAAGATATTTTTCCAAAATAGGCTTCAGAAGCCTTTCACAGTTGGTCACGAATAGAGAACAGTAGAACACAACATGTAAGTCCTCAACTGATTTTTGGTTGCAAAAACATACTCTCTCATAGTATGGAATTTGTTTGTAATGCCCTTTTACGCTAGTAAGCGGCAACATATCAAGACGTGCCTGGAGAAGGGGCGGAGCTAGAAACAGCAAAGCAGCAGGAAGCTGGACTCCTCAGAAACCTGTTGCATGCCGTGAATCCAGACACCCCCCAAGAAACTGGGGACAGGGGAGGGCCAGAAGAGGCCACCCTGAGTTGTAGGAGAGCTGAGATATCCTGGGGGAGTGGACAAGCGATCCCTCCCCAGGCCTTTTTTCTTCTCCAGAGAAAGGATTTTCTAATGTCGTCTTAGCTGTGGAGCTCCGCGGGCAGGAGGGAGGCACGAGGATTTACGTCTGACTGCATGAACAGGGACTAATTGATCTCAACACAGCTTCAGTAAGTACAAAATAAACTTAAGAGGCTGATTTTACAGAAGATAGTGGAATCTTAAAGTGGCAAATAAACTTTTACCCAGACACATTGGTAAATTATTACTGCGTCACGCCTGAAATAGAAACAGAAACCAGATAAAGACACAGACAGACTTTTTCTTTCTCGTCCCCTGTCCTCTGATAGATGCAATTAACTTTTATAATAGAAAACAAGGTGTATAAGGAGGCAAGAAACTTAAGTGATCTTGAACTGTGCTGCGAGAGGTGGATTATAAACTAAATGAACTTTTATTCTGGCTGGATCTACAAGTGAAGCTGTTTGGTGAAAGTTGAAGTCTGGGTTAACATAATAAATTACAAGTTGTACTGAGCAATTGACTTTTATTACTTAATTATTTTATGGCTTTTGGCTGGAAGAAAGAATAAACAAGCCAATTTGGTGGCTATTCTCTCTATGACAGGGAACGTTTCTTTATGCAAGACTTATATTTAGAAATCAGAAAGCACCTTTTCCCCATCAACTTTACAATGGAGGAGGACCTAATGGAGGACCTAATTGACGCCTTACAGGAGATGCAAATTAATATTGTGAATTGCATTGCGACCCAGATCTCTGAACTTAAGACATTACTTCCAGGTTTGAATGGAAAAGAAGAGCATCGGGAGACGTCAGACCAGCTCATCAAGATGGAGGCAGCACCAGAGAGAGAGAGACTTTATTTGTTTTTGGAAAGGAGGGTGAAACCCCAAAAGAGAAAAATTAATTTGTATGGTGAGAGAGAGGAGCAGGTGAGTGAAGGCTTTTCTATAGTCGAAGCTCACTAAATCGGCAAAATAGATTTAAAGGTGGAGATAAAATACAGTGGTGCCCCGCATAACGAGCGATTCGTTTAACAACGAATCCGCATAGCGATGAGGTTTTTGCTATCGCAAAAGTGATCGCATAACGATGTTTTAAATGGGTAAACATTGCTTTGCGATGATCGGTAAGCGTTTCGCTTACCGATTATCACATAACGATGTTTAAAAAACAGCTGATCGGTGGTTCCAAAATGGCCGCCGGAAAAAAGGCAGCCCGCAGCGTTTTCGCGCCCTTTCCTTGCTTACCAGGCAGCGAAAATGGCAGCCGCATGGAGGATTTTCGCTTTAAGGTGAGTTTTTCCCCATAGGAATGAATTAAACGTGTTTTAATGCGTTCCTATGGGTATTTTTGCCCCGCATATCAACGAATCCATATATCGACAATTTTTTTGGAACAGATTATCGTCGCTATGCAGGGCACCACTGTAATCTTATAGAACGGGACCATTTTTAGAGTGCCTAGCAAACTTATATCTGTTTGGTAACAGAGATCAAATAATCTCTGCTTTAATGAGCTTTTTGCTGCAGACAGACCAAGGTGCCTTACATACTCTTCTGAAAAGCCAAGTTTGGCTACTAGTTGCAGTATGGAGAATTTCCATGTTCCAGAATTCATTTCCCCATATGATAATGTTAAATATTCTGACTGAGTGGTAAATAAAATTTTCAGCCAATAGTTAATTAATGATTTGCTGACTAATGTCATTATTGACATTATTGACAATTCTAGTCTAACTAGTGCTGAGGGAGTTGAGGGAGGTACTGCCAACAATAGTCGGGCAAATCTGTTTTGGGTTACTTCTAATGGGTATAAGTTTCCAATTTCCCATATTTCAACACCGTACAGAATCTGGGGGAGTAACTTGGTTTTATAAATTTTGCAAGTGGGAGGGATTAAATGTCCTCCTCTAGTTCTACAAACCTGGCTTTTTTGAATTTTTGCTTTGTAAAGTCAATCTGAAACATCCAAGAACCTGACTGATAAAATATCATGCCTAAATATTTAAAGTGGGTTACCTGTTCCAATATTCTCCCATCCATTGTCCATTTATGTGCCTGAGGTCTTCTACTGGAAAGCATAATTTTGGTTTTCTCATAATTAACATTAAGAGAGTTCTCCTTGCAATAATTACTAAATTGTTTTAATAATCTTCTAAGACCTATTTGTGTGTGGGATATTAGCAAGGTATCGTCTGCATAGAGTAAAATTGAAACAGACTTTCCACCTACTCTTACAGGGAAAAATTGCAGTCCAGTTAACCTGGCTACCATATCACTTATGTACAAATTGAAAAGCAATGGAGCTAGGATACAGCCCTGATGGACACCTTTAGATGTTTTAACTATAGTGGTGCCTCACTTGACAACGATAATCCGTTCTGTTCAAATCGCTGTTAAGCAAAATCAAAAAATCCATTGAAATGCATTGATAACCGTTCAATGCGTTCCAATGGGCGAAATACCTCATCGTGCAGCAAAGATCCTCCATCGGGCGGCCATTTTCCGATGCCTGTTAAGCGAGGAATCCATCCTAAAAACAGCGGGGAGCCATTTTGCATAGCGGGCAGCCATTTTGCGACCCGCCGATCAGCTGTTTGGAAATCATCGTGATGCGAAGAATCGGTTCCCGAAGCAGGGAACAGATTGTCGTGAAGCGAATTTTCCCCATAGGAACATCGTAAAGCAGATTCATCGTTTAACGAAGTAATAGATAAGCGAGGCACCACTGTATGTTAGATAGTTGACCAGAAATGCTGGCTCTGACCCTTAGGGAAGTATCAGTATGGAAGTCTTTGATTCTTTGTAGCAATCTAGGATCTATTTTAAGATTTATAAGTTTTCCCCACAAACAACCTCTTGAGATGGAATCAAAAACAGCTCTGAGGTCAATAAATGCTACATATAATTGTCTTGAAGATGCAATAGCATATTTGTTAGTTAGATGGTTAAGGAGAAAAATATGGTCCAATGTTGAGTGTCCCTCTCTAAAGCCAATCTGTTCAGGAGCTAAAAGATTATATTCTATTACCCAGTCTTTCAATTTTAAATGGAGATGTCTTGCGTAAAGTTTGCCTATTACATCAAGCAGACTCATAGGTCTATAATTGGCTGGGTCCTTTTGCTCGCGTTTCTTATAGATGGGCACGACAAGTGAAGATGAGCATTCTCTAGGGGTGCCACCCACCAAATCTATATAAGTAAATAAGGTAGCTGGGGTTGGGGCCCACCAGTCCTGAAAAGATTTAAGTATATCCAGTGGGATGAAATTTTCCCTGGGAGCTTTATTGCTCTTGATTGTTGAAATCAATGATTTTATTTATTTAATTGTGACTGGAGGCCACATTGTTAGATCACTGGGGGGTGGTATTAGAGCTAGAGATATCTTGCTAGTAGAGGGTGGATCATTAAATAATTTGAAGTAATACTCTTCCCAACATTCAGTGGGTACATAAGAATCCAGATCATGGCGAAACCTCCCCTCTGCTGATGCGAGCAGTCACCAAAATTTTGCCATATCTTTCTGGTACAAAGCCAGGCCAATAAGATTCTTTTATTGAGGCTTGGTTTTTTTTTCTTTTTGAGGTGTTTATATTTATTACAGAGATCAAAAAAAGTCTGGGTAAACTTTTAGACTGATTTTGTTTGTGTAATTTAAGTGCTCTTCTTAATTGGTGCTTCATAGTTTTGCACTCTCTATCAAACCAACTGATATTAGTTGGTCTACTTCCTGGTGATAGTCTTACCCTCTTGGTCAAGAAGGGTCTCAAAGTATCTATTAGTTTACCATATCCTGGAAGGGCAGTGTTGAAGTTTGAAGCTGCCTCAATTTCCCCTTTCAGTTTGAGCATAGGAGCACTATACAAAATTTGTTGTATTTCTTGCTGGAGTATGGAAGACCAATTCAGTCTAGTATCTCCTGTCACCAACACTTGATCTATTGGGAAAGAACTATCCTCCCCATTATTTAATGAAGCTTTAGGAGTGTGCATGTGGAATATAAGAGGCTGATGGTCACTTTCTGGCTGTGTACCCACTGTAAAGTATAGAATTTTATCTAGTAAGGGGGGGGGCGTAATAGCTAAATAATCAATCAAACTAGCTCCATTTTTACTGAAATATGTGAACTCCCCCAATTCATCACCTTGGAAATTACCATTTAATATTACCAGATTTAGCTTATTAATCAGCTGCCAAAAAAACTTTTTCCAGTCTTATTCAGAAGGGAATCTTTTGTATTTCTTGACTGATTATAAAAGTCACCAATATGCTTGGCATAGGCAGATCTAAAATGGCCGTTGCCCAGACGTGCATTAAAATCTCCAAGCAGTATTGTTTGCGCTCCATGAAATGTTGTCTCAAGATCATATATGTATATTTCTAAATCAGACCAGCAATGCTCGTAGTAGAAAGCAGATGAATAAGGCGGAATATAAACATTCACAACCAAATTTTCCCAATCCTTGAAGGTCAGGAGAGCAGCCATTGCAATAGATCTTAAAGATGGTAGTAGTAAAACAGCACAGACCACTGAGGTGGATATCAGACAAGCCAACCCTCCGTTTGGACAACCTCTAGCTACTGCAGGAGTTGCAGTGAAAGTGTATGAAGTAAATTCATTTAATAACAACTCAGATATAACCATGTCTCCTGAATAAAGATAATATCAAAACTTTTCATAAATGACAAAAATGATGGGTTTTGAGTTTTGTTCAACCAACCAGACACATTCCATGAAATGCATTTCAGATGGTGCTTTCTTTGAATTGCAAATTGTCAATTTGAAGCAGGATAATCCATAGATGATTCTAAGTCAGGCACTGAACTCGGCACTGAATTTATTTTAATAATATCAGAAAGGTTACTCTAGGCGTTATCTAGGGGTGCCTCGGTTATTAAACAAAGATTGGGATGGTCTACAGGCACTGTCAAGTTAGAACTGGGAACCCTTTTATTTATTATTACCATGGGCTCCAGGGAGATTTTCATTCTGTCCTTAAGCCATGTCTCCACTGGGCATCCTAGTGTTGGCAGTTGAAGGGATACTAGGTCATCACTGGAATTTGGGGGAGGTTCTAGATCCCTCAAAGTTGCAACCAGGGAGTCCAGGCGATTCACTAAGGATGCCCACACATCAGTTGGTAATTTACTAAAGGATGAGATAAGATGAGTCTCTACCTCCTCTTCTGGCCAAGCAAGG